TTTGAAGCCATGAGCTCAGCCTGGCCAAACACCAGGACTGCTGAGAAGTGACACAGCGCTATCAGGCATTAGCAGAAAACTTTGCTCCCATAGCTTCAGGACGTGCTCCAACTCCCTGTTTACCACAACTAATCTCTAGTCTTCCCTTAAGATCACAAGGAGGAAATTGGAGGACTATTAAAACTATCCCAGAGAGAGAAAACTTCTGGAGGAGAGACCTGACCTCATGCACCTGGATGCAAAAGGTCTTTTGCAGTTACTCCATAGCCCTTCTCAAAATGGCCACAAGAATCAAACATTTAAGGAAAAAAAACAAAACAAAACCAAAAAAAACACCAAACCAAAAACAAAACCCAAAGCTCTTCTCACATACCCAGGGGCAAGTTCCCACAAACCCCAACAATTCAATTTTCTGAGAGCTTATGAGCTGTATTTCCCTGTGGGCACACACAGTACGGGGTGTGTGTTTCTGAAAGTGAAGCCAAACCCAAGCAAGGCCCCAGCAGAGCCCTCCCCTTCAAGTTCTCACCTCACACACAACTGGTGGCATTCCTTGTACACAAACAAACTCCCTCTCTAAACACACCATAACAAGTATTTGAGCGTGCACTATTAAAAAAAAAAAAACAACAAAAAAAACCAAACCCAAAACTGCAAAAAAGCCCGATAGGGTTGGGGTTTTTTTGGTTTGTTTGGTGTTTTGTTTTTTTTTTAAGTCTAAGTTCTTACCCACAAAGTCTGTCAAATACAGACATTGACTTGTTGACATCTCAGCCCTCACTTGGATTTTAATGATGGCCTGAGTGAGGCTGACTGGAGCCAGATGTGTTTTCCTTCAGCGATTGCACACTAAGGACTGTAGTATGACTGCAACTGTATCAGAGCTTAATGAGAATGTATTCCTAAGTTACCCGATCATAACCGCAAGCACTTAATCAGCATCTGGAAGACAAATTGCTTATTTCTGTATAGAGCCAGCTCCATGCACCACCCCCTCCCCCAAGGGGAATGTCTGTTAAATCCCCTGGTTCAGGAAACACTGCCGTGCTCCATCAGCGCGGCTTACTCAAGCCATAGAAGCGGCACAGCCCGGTGGGGGAGCATTAC